GAAAAGAACAGGAAAGTATCTACCAACAATATTGCGACTATCCAATCTGACACTATCTGGCACAGACAAAGTGGGCTGCATGTGCATTACTTATTTCAGTACACTGTACACCATCGTAATCTGTGAAAAGATTCAAAAGTGTGCGAAATTATGCTAAAGTCCGTATGGTAGTCAAAATGAAACCAAATGTGTGAACCAGAGAAAAGGTAAAAGGTACACTGTGTTCCTTTAACTCGTCACATCTGCATTTGTACTGACTGGCACAGGGCAGTTTACTCATGTGTCCTGCTCCCAGGCGTCACTGTCCAAACCTCAAAACTACTTTTGACTTCATCCCCTCAAGCAAGAGCCACAGCAACATACTCACTTCCCAGTTAATGCAAACCAAATAGTACATTTACATGCAAAAAGCACTGGATGTAAACCCAACATGGCCGTACTCTGGGGAGGTCCGCCGCAGTGCATTGTGGGATTCATTATCTGCCAGAAAGCCGATGACTCATTGCGCTCTCCATGACCTCTGATTTGTTTTTCTCTCATTTAGTCATTACTTTGCATAACAAGTGAAGCTAAGTGTGCTGCAAAGGACTCCAATATATGTACGTCAAACTACAAAACAGAAACGATGTAACACACCTTTTCATTATAAAAAACTTAATTTATCAGATTTTTACTCAGGCTAGAGCCAAACGGTGCCAGTGCACATTTTCCCCCACAGCGCTGAAACAAATGAACTGGCAAGGAAATTGTGTTTTAAGAGAAAATGATAGTGTATGATTGAATGTTTTTGTGTAGGTGGGGGGATGTTGTGAGCCCCCTTTCTTGGCTAGCAGCTATGGTTGAGATTCCAGTCTGCTCCAGTATTACCATATACACTCACACATTCACAAAAATACTGTCACACCTCATACAGCCTGTGCCATGAATATCAATAGTTGCTCTTCTGGTGCGCTCCCATACAAAACAGACAGTAAGAAATGTTCATGCATGACTACGTTCCACTTGGCCCACCGCATATATCTAGTTTAATGGGATAATGAACACACAGTATAAGAGAATTGTGCATGACACCGAGCTGTTAGCCACAATGCCTGACTTATGCCAGTGATTTTGCCTCCTTCAAGGTACTATATTTTGGTAGCTTTTTCAAGTGGAGTGCCTGTGACATTCTAACAAGTCACCTTGACAGTGGTGTGAATAATTTCTGTAATAAAAACAGCGATGGTGCCAGCTCATGACTGGAAAATAGTAGCTGAATTGTGTGAAATGCTTATAAATATGTTTTCTTTTTTTACAATGGAAATGAGTTTGCTGACACATTTAGCACAGCTTCCTATTCTGTTTTAGTTCTAGTTAGGCAGAATATACCTGATGTTTTCCATTAGACTGGAGGAATGCCATTAAACAGAGCATAGTAACAAGATTATAGAGACAAAACAGCTCAACCAGCTGAAATGTTAACATGCTAATGGTTAGCAGCTAACTTAAAGATGGAGCCTTACTGCTGGTCTTTTTCTTTCATCAACTTCTACAAGGGACACTAGAATGAGATGCTGCTGGCTGTCCCAGTGATGACTAAATCTCAGTTGGCCTCTTCCATGCCCCGATCCTGACCTGTGGACCCGGATCCTCCCCGTCCCTCACCTGCCTGGATGACCTCATATTGCTGGCTGACCCACAGCCTATATCCTGAATGAGTCACCCTCTATCCCTCTGTCTTGAGTAGACTCTTGCTCTACAGACTAGAACTCTATCTGCAAGTGGGTGTGTGTCAGTCCTGAACACATCTACTATGGGAGTGGATCTCTCCTTCACAGCCTTTTTTTCCCTACTGTTTTTATTTTAATTAACAAGTCTTTATACTGGTAGGTTTAAGGATGAGGATGCCCCAGGCACAGTTATCCAGTTGCTTGTTTCCTCTGAATGTTGGTCAATCTGCTTATCTTTTATTACCCAATGACTGTTTCCCTGTTTGAGTTTTCAAATTTTCTGCTATTTAAATCAGTAGTTTTGTCAATCCCTGCATGGTGACTGCTGTTGACTTTTGGCTGTAGAAAATAAATTGAATTTGAACTGCCAATCTTCTGGTAAATGGGCAACCTGCTAAACCTTTGGAGGTCCAAATGTGTCTGAGGATGTCCAAATTTTAAGGTGGAAAATAGTATTATTAAGATTACTCAAGCTTTACTGGTGGTAGGTGAGTGGTGGGTTTGATGGCAGTAATATGAATTAGAGCTGCTTTAAGGCAGGGATGGTGGGGAAAAAAAAAAATCAAATTGCTAATAGGAATTTTCCATCCAGAAATAATTTGAATAAAATGTGTCTGCAGGTGAGAAACATCCTTGGGAGACATTATTCTTTTGACTTGCTCTTTAAATCAGCGCCCGAGCGACACATGCAGCCCTTTTGTCTGGGAACAGCACGGATCGACAGAGGTGCCCTGTGCAGCCATCCAGGTGTTGAGCTTGGCAGAGACAAGAAGAGGTACCCTGTCAACCTTTCTGCCCGTGCTGGAACAAAGAGGATGCTTACACACAGGAATAATTGACGAGATCATGTGGTACTTGCTTTTCCTTTTGGCAGGTACTTTCCGAGTCTACACAGCTGTGCCGGCAAGCTTCCCTCTGAGAGATGACAAAAACATGGATAACGAAAATCTCCAAGTCCATAGACAACACTAGAGTTAAATTAGCTGTGTCTTTGAATTTGGATAGAACAGCACATGCAGTATCAACCTGGGACACTCATTGTAATTTTGATTTCCATTCATAACAGAGGCTCGGCAGGACATTGGATAAGAAGGTCTATGAAGACTTGATTAAATCTGAATTAAATAAATATTCATCACAAAGCTAAGCACGCTGCCAGATGTTACTGTTAGCTCTCGAATACGACTGTCCCACATGTACATCCCTCTGACAGACACCAGGGGTTAACAAACCAGTGCAGACACGGAGAACGGGAGGCACATAATCCATCAAAAGCTAAACAAGATCCGCACCAAATTGCACTGGGACTCTTCAACAGTAGACTGGTGAGCATGACGTCCAATTCCCAGTGGAACGACACCTGATAAATGTGTGTGCTTATCATACCAGGGAATGTTTTGGGGAGAGGTGGCCACCCTGATGTCTATTTGTGATAGATAATGCTGTTCACTGATATGGGAACACTATTTAAGGCACACAAAAGGCTTGCAAATGTCAAATTTGCATGGGGACAGAGGGAAAGGGAATCAAAGTCTTGCATACACATCACCAGGAAGAATGGTTCATTTAGTTGAGAGAAAGTGTGCTGTTTTCATACAGTGTAATTGCTCATGAAGCAGATTTTAAAATAATTGTATGTCACTGTTTAGTTCTCTATAAACTGTAACAGGTTTCAGCAGCAAACTGATAAAATTGTCCATACAGGCCAGAGCTGTGGTCTGAATGTACATTCAGCACCACGGACAGCGACACAGACAGCCCCTGAATCTTAAGTCTGGAGCTAGCTGCAGTTCAAAGTTCTGTTTGTCCACCTCATATATCTTTTACATCCAATATAGAGGGCTCAAACAAGTACATTTGTTTTGAAAAGGCCAAATTGATGCTGCTACATGTTTCTTCTCAGCATGCGGCTATCTTTTTAATTATTCACTGGAATATGCTTTTGATCTGTGCACCTAACAGTGCTGCAACCTCCCTCTCAATCATCTGAAAAACTCACAGGCTTGACATGAAAAATATAAAGCAAAGTCCACTTGCAAAACAACATCAGCAACACCAGCACTAAAAAGGCTACTATATAGCATTGCATTACATCAGTTTAAAAAGGTCATTGCACTAGTTGCATGCATCCATGAATAGATTTTTAGCTCAAGTATTTTTTTGTGTTTCTTTAATTTATTATCAGTGAAAATGTTTTCTGAAAAGGGCATGGGTGCTTTATAAAATCACAAGTCAAAGCTGACGTTTTCAGACGTAATCCCTGGAGGAGCTCTGCTTTTCTACCTCCTGGGTAGTTAATCGCATTCAGCTGGTCTCCCAGGTGTAAAATATTCCCTGTTAGATTGTTAGAATGAAAATCAGCAGGGCCCTGGCTCCTGAGGACTGGCTTTGACAGTTGTTACCATAGTGAACATTTCGATAACACTCCACAGCTGTGTCGATCATAACTGCTACTCTGACGCTCACGGTCCTGCTGCCTATATACTTGTGTGACTTCTGGATCAACTGAAAGGCATAATGAAGGCAATTATTTACACAACAGCAAGCTGCATCATAAAAATCAGTGGTGCATACAGACTAATGGAAGACATTAGCATTGAAATCATTAGCGCTCTGTCTATAACAAAAGTAGTGCTGTTATTTAATGGCCTATACCATATTTGAAATCTCCGGCATATAGTCTAAATAGTAGCTCGGGATTTAAATGCTCCTTGCTCTTCACTCCACACCAATGTTTGCGTTCTTACACTGTCCTGTGGCGTCCTCAGCTTTTGCTTTGCTCTCATTGGCGGAGCCGCCGCTGATTATGCGTGTGGGCGTGGCCTCATCAGAGGAGTGCGAGTGACGTCACGGCCAGAGTGGCAACTGACGGGACGTGGTGGGTGGATGGCGGGGTGGGGTTGGACTTATAAAAAGAAGATAGAAATACAAAAAAAAAAAAAAAAAAAAAGAGCCTAGATTGTAAAAATAAATAATAAAGTCGTCGTGGCTGAGTCCAAACAAGGGAGTTTAGTCCGAAGGGAGAGAAGGCACGGATGCGGATGAGCCAGAGGGAGGAGGAAAGGGGACATATAACGAGGAGACTAGGGGGTGTGCGCTGTGCAGTTGTGAGGAGAGAGGGGGGTAGGAGGAGAGATAGCGTGTGGAGAGAGAGAGAGTGGAGAGAGCCGGCCCCATTGAGGAAAGATGGCTACAGTCACTGCAAACGGAGTGCAGCAAGAGAATGGCTTCAGCACCACGAACAGCGCCGGCAGGATGAACGGGCTTACCATCGGCCAGAACACCATCCCCATGAAGGACCACGACGCCATCAAGCTTTTCATCGGCCAGATCCCCCGCAACCTGGAGGAAAAAGACCTCAAACCGCTCTTTGAGGAATTCGGAAAGATATACGAACTCACTGTACTGAAAGACAGGTTCACGGGAATGCATAAAGGTTGGTTCGCTATACGCTATGTCTACGCACACTTGAGCCGTAACTCTGATGTCACATATGTTTTGACCGGGGCACTTCCCTCTCACACGTGGAAGTGAAGTGGGGTTAATTGTTCGCGCATGTGAATACTACAGCTGCTTTTGTGTGTTTACATTGGCTCCCGTTAAGGGGGAAGGAAGGGGGCGGGACACGCGTGGACGCTATAGCCGCTGCCTGCTGCCGTACATGTGCTGGCTCGGTGCTCGCTCGCTAGCCCACTTTCTTTAGCACGTCATTAGTGTTGGAAAATAGTGTTTACATGGCAGCTGCATTGTAACGCGGCTGCTCCGTGGGCGGCTGGCGTGCAGTCAGGAAGTACAAAGCGGGATAATAGTAGAGCTTGACATCCAGCAGGCTATCTCCTCGTTGGTCTTGTCAAATCCCCTTTAGGTCCGGAGAGGCGTAGTTATTAGTGAAAGATCACAGCTGGGCCGATTCCCTTTTCACTAATAACACAGATTAGTGCCTTTGTTTTACTTAACAGTTGTAGCAGAATGTGCCATTTCTGAAATAACCTAGTAGTAGTAGTAGTAGTAGTAGTAGTAGTAGTAGTACCTAAACTTTCTTTATGGATATGCTACTGTTAAATACAGTACATTTAGTATCATTATGATAGGAAAAATAAACTCATGAAAATGATCAATACCACTGTTACAACAACATTCCATTATTCCATGAATGTATAATTTTGCTATTTTTCTGTCATCATTGGGTAGTTGTAGGATCCATTGAGTTTGCCAGCACTTGACTACTATAAATAATCTATTCAGAAAGCAAGCAAATTATGTAGGACATGTGTGCCTGTGGCCACAGTTCGTGATCTTATTGATTTGCCTGAATCAAGCGCTCTAGTGGGAGCAGCAGCCTCAGCCTGGCTCTGTACTGTGTGCATGGACCCTGAAGGTCTTCATGCGCCACCTGTTCCTCTCCAACTAGCATCCCATGTCTGTATAGGTCTTTTATACCACTGCTCTGCTCCTCAGAGCCTTATGATCGATTAAAACAATATTCCCCATGTTTGTGGTGTTTACGCCTGTCCTCCAGCATCCCTGAATGTCAACACTTGAAGGAGGACGTGTACCTCGAGTAGGATAATCCTTTTCCAAAGCCAGACTGTATTGCCTGCTCCAATCAGGCTCCTCCAAGGTCCCTCTGATGTATGCATTATGCCCACTTCATCCTGCGTGACATTCAAAGTCACTTTGAGAGCGCAGGCATGCACACTTTTAATAAAATTTCACAAACGCATTATATGGATGAGTTTTTCTTATTGGCCACTTACCTCCACTCTGTTCATGGCTCTTGCTACATCAATGTGTGATACCTGTTGGAAGCATGCAAATACCAGAGTAACAAAATGGGATTAGTTGAGGTTGCAAGTGAACAGAATATTTATAAGGGAAGAGTTGAAAAAGCTCTCCAGTGAAACATAATGGATCTCCAATCTAACAAGTTTAACACCCAATTGGGTACATACTTAAAATTTTTTATCATAAAAAATTTAATTGATGTCTTTTCACTCATTTTTATTGATTGACATATTTTATTATTGCAATAATATGTCAATTTTTTTAAATTCATAATTGTACTATATTTCATCTTCACGAGTAATAGTGCAATATATGAAGGAGTATCTCTAACTTGTATTGTTCCGTATTTAGTCAATTTGTATGTATAGCAAGATGTACAATATATGTTTGAAATATGATTATAATTGAAATGTCTGTGAAAGTCCAAACTCTGGATAACTTTGGAGTAAAAATAAATACAACTATATTCATCCACACTTTAAGCCAGGTGACATACAACCTTAATTTCACCATGTCTTTCTTGTGCCTCCTGAAAAAAAAAAAAAATCCCTTGCTGTTTGATTCTGAGAAGTGATAGTAATACAACTGTGTAACTGTTGCATATTTGTGCCTTACAGTGCACCTCACTGTTGAGAGGAATGCTTAATATGCCAGCACACAGTGGAAGGCTATTATGACAAAGGCCTTGGAGGCAGCAGATAACATTATCACAGATTGAATCCACATTTTCTTCATAAGCAGTAACACAAACATATAAGTGTAATAAGAGTAGGAGGTTGTAATGAGCTCTGCAGTGGCATCCAAAAACATCAAGTTTATGAAGCTTTAGTGCCTAGCTGCATTTAAAACATATTTTTAAATTCAGAATATTAGTTTTAACCAGATGGAGCAAAGTAATATAAAGTAATACCTTTTTCTACTACCTTTTTCTGCACACAGAATTACACCATAATTATAGTCTTAAAGGCAGATCAAAATATGGCGTGTTTGCTCATGACTAATTCATGTGGATTATAATGCATGAATTAGAGCAGATGTTTTGTGCTTTGCGAATCCTAACTTTGGGCATTTTTGGGATCTCCGGGGACTCATGGTTGTCTTGGGAATTTTCACTTTTTATATTTTTCTACACCCTGCTGCTGATGTACTGTGGAGGCGGTTGTCTCCAGATCTCCTGCTTGTATAGAAGATTATAGACCATGCAGTTGGACATAGCTTTGTGTGTATGTGGAGCATTTTGCAGCAAGTGGGATGACTTGACACTATTGCTGGACCAGTGTGCCAGGTTATGCTGTTTAACATGGGCCGTTTAGCTAAGCACTACATTATCATAATACTTAGTGGCAGTGCCAGAATGCATGCATTGTTCAGACATGCTGAATGCTGGCGGGGGGCAAATCTTTCGGTTGAGTAGCGGTATCTATCAATCCGTCTCCGGTGCTGAGAGGAGGGACTTAGAGCAAGCAGCACGCAGCCGGGAGGAAGGGAAACAAAGAGTTGTTAAATATTCTCATCCATTCTGCTCTCCTTGGTTGGTCTGCGCAATGTAATTGACTGTAAATAGCCTGGAAAATTGACACAAAAAATCCACTAAGCCATTGAAATGTCAAAGGAAAACCGCAAAAGGGCACTAACATCTAATTTGAAAGAACTCATATCACCGGAAAAAGACATAGGCCTGGTTTACCTTTGCAAAATACACTGCTTATAATTAATACTGTATGGTGCAAAGTTTAAATTCAGAGTGCTTTAGTAAATATATTTTAGGACTATCTAAAAGGTCAGTTATAAAACAGGGACAAAAATAGTGCATACTTTTGACTGGATTAGAAGAACATGATAGTACTTCTGAACTAAGAGCAGGAAGTAATGGTTTGGGCACCACATCTTTACCATTGCAACTGGGGGTGAGTGATATTGACGAAAATGAATATATGAATATTAATTGAAGCATCTCAATAACAGTCAAGACAGTGTTATTTAAATTCACCATAAATGTGTTAAAACAGGTTGAAGTTTAAGTATTAGAAAGACTGTTAAAATTACACATGCATACACATACCCCACACTGTGCAGAAATATCGCTTTATACTCTTATTTGGAAGTTTCCTTTTTTATTTTTAATCAGCTCTTTTTGTAGCATATTTTGTATTATTAGTAACTATTAACTCACTGTTGAAATTTGGAGTATCTTCAAAACAACATTCACAGTATTATCTATTTTTTCAATCATCTGTCTTACCATGTTTTCCAATTTATGTTTAGTCATTTTCCAAATCCTGCGTGCGACTTTGGACATGTTTGTATGAAGCTGTATCTACAATGTAGTGCTTTAAAGAGCAGGGCAGTAACTGACAGTCTCTGCAGTGTGAGTGACAGGTGTAGCTTAAGTCTACAGATGACCTCTTTGATCATTAGGAGGAGGCTATGTGAAGCAGACAGCTCTCTGCTCTGAACTGAATGTAGATGGATAGACAGCTAAAGATAGGAGGAGGGTGTGCTGCTGGTAATCTGTGCTAAATACCGGAACGTCAATTGTCAAAGATGGGCAGTAATTAATCCTTACATGTTAGCATAAAATATTAGGACTGAATGAATAAAAAAATATATTAGCGATTTTTCTGACTATTGCGATTTACGATTAGATTTGTAATTTAAAAAGAACGATTCTGTTCACATTGGCAGTTTCACCTCCAGGGGCATTAAAATAGGAAAAAAAGGGAATATGAACTGCTAAATGGATTCAAGAAGTTCATGCACCTTGTAGAGCTCTAAAAATTACAGGATATTTTGTTGTCCATAGTGGATAATCTACCTAAATAATGGCAGTCTTTATGGTCTGATAATTGCCCCTACTCAAATTGTGATTTTTATTTGATTGTGATATTGTACAGCCCTAATATTTTCTTTATTCAAATCAGTCTAAAGTTGAAATAGAACTTTTTACTGAAGACATTTCTAGACATCTGCTAAGACTGAATCTTTCACAAATTTACTGCGCCTGACAGGAATTTTTATACAAATTTCTTCAATTTCATGTGTCTGCTGCCTTGAGAAGCTTTTATTGCCTGGGTGCAAGTAGTAGTGAGCACATTCTAATTTTCATTTTAAAACGAGAACGATCACAAGTAGAAAAGTTCTTTAAGTAATTAGCACAAATGTGTTGAGCAAACGCACAGACACATCTCTCTTTGGAAGTCTTTCCCGCTCGACTCTCTCAACCGCCTTAAATACAATGTGTTGAACTCCTGTCCTCGTCTGAAATTATAGTGAAGTAAATTGTCTTTGATTACCAAAGTATTACTTTCACCCCACTTAACCTTACATAACTGAAGTAGAACCAGCAAAACTTTATTCCCACGAGATGACTTAAATCTTGTCAAGTGTTTGGTGTGGCAGTACTGGGCCGGTGACATCCTAAAACTTTTTACTCTTGCTTGCGTCATTTTAGACAAATTAAAGGAGTGTTTTTGAAGATATTTTTGCATGGCTGAATATAAAGTGAAGGGACACCAAGTCTGTATGACATCAAAAATGAATTTTATTCTGTGCCAATTAGTCAACTTAAAGTTTGGAGCTGACAGCTGTAACCCGCTCCCAGCTGCTAAATCCCTGTTATCTCCTCCCAAGAATGATGATGTCACTTCTCTTTGGTCTCCCCACTCATGTGGTGTAAAACAGGCTTATTGAGGTCCAAAGTAGTCTCTGAGCCAAATATGTGTGCACTACTCTATGTTTTTGTTTAAATTTCATTTATTTATTTAAATGGTGCGTTTAAAAAGAGAACCTGCAGGCTTATGATTTTTCCCACTATTATCCTTTTTTTTTCACTGATATCACTATTATTATTTGTGATTTTCTTTGTGACTGTTGAGATAAATAGTAGTATTGCCAACAGTATTTTTATCTTTATATATATTTATTATTTTTCAATATATATTCTGTCAGGCTAAGGCGAAACTTTTGGAAGGGTACATTTTATTGCATGTGATCAGTGTGCATAGCGGTGAAAAATATAAAAGCAAATGTCAAGCCAGTGGCGACGAGAGTGTCTTCCCACAATTACCATAAGCTTTAGCGGGACAAGCTCCCGAGGGGGCGCTGACTGTGTCCCACAGTTTTGTCATTTCACAAAGGATGAAGAGTGTTTCCCTGGGCTCCCAAACTTTTGTGCCTGTGCCATGTGGCGCCCTGTTTCATCAGTGTCGTTCAGGTGATCCTTTTCTCCTCTTGAATTACTGCCTCATTGTGGAGGTGGGTGAAGGTTGTAGTGAAAGGAAGCTCGCTTGGCCAGGTGCCAGAGTGCAGTGGTTTCAGAGGTGATGGGTGCTACGCGCTGCAAACTGGGTGTCATTTGGTAATGCATGTGTATGTGAGGAAGTCTGTGTCATTCCCATGGGAATCCTTGGCGGCAGGTGTGACACGTAGTAATGGGAAATTATGCTGCACAGTGCAAAACCTCTGTGAATGGGGTCATCCACTGTCAGCTCCACCAAGCACAGAGCAAGCCAAGCACTGGGCCTTTAATGAAAGCTGTCACTTACTGACGTATATTCATTCTCTTTACACTGAATTTTTAAACTTCAAAAGTCTCCCGAGATGGCTGAAGGAATTTTAATTACTGGGTTTTGAAAAGCAGGCGTTCTTTTCCACACAAATTCATAACTATAGAACTGACATCCAACAAAAAACAGTGTGAGGATTTTGAGTTCATCGAGTTGTTTTAACTTTGGAAGCGGTTTTGTGTTATATCTAGGAATTAAGACTCATATTTGCTCTATGTACTCCAATGACTTCAAAGGTACTTTAGTTAATGTAAAAAAAAAAACATCATTCTAATCTGTAATATATTTTGTCCTCTCTTCACAACATGAATGCTTAAATTAAAGGCATTTAAAATGCTTTTGGAACTTAACACAAGCTACATTTTACCAAATGAAAAATCCAAAACATGACATTGTTTTAAAAGACCTGGGGCGGGTGATATACAGTACCATAGTGACAATAACTTATTTATTGAGTGTAACATAGATATAGTGTTGACTCTGCAGTTTGACTCGAGCTCTGTGTTCCAATGAAATATCTGTGCTCCATGTTTTTCGAATGAGCAGACATAATAAATAATGGGGACAGATTTATTTGTTTACCTAATATGTTGTATGCCTTTGTATTTAAAGTATTTAAATCTCACTTCCTACAGCATAACACTTTCAGCTGCACTGTAACTAGCATAAATATTAATACAGCTAAGCTCTCCCCAAAATATCGTACACATAAAATACTAGGCACATTTTTGTAATAACACCCGTTAGCATATGCATCTGCATCAAGGATCAGTTTCAAGGTGATTATATTGGTACTTGTAGGCAAATTTGTTTTGCAGTGTTCACAGCACAAACTATCACTAGATTGGGTCCTTTCTAGAGTTTGATGATGTCATCATGTCAAATGGATGGTGGGGGCCTGTTCTGGAAACAAATCAGGATCCACAAATGTTGAACCTCATCATTATTTGTTTGGGATTGCCTTCACAAACCTGCCATATTAATCTTATGGCTTTAAATCCTTTCAACCAACAACAATAATGTCTTTGGGAATTAATAATGGCACTACATTCTGAAGCTATACAGTAAAGACAATCATTTCACTTTTGCTAATTTATGTTGACAGATGAGACATTTTTGTTGTGAATATTCCCAGAGTATTAACCGTATGCCAGTTCAGTAAACTTGCAATGTGGCATTTAAAGTCTAAAATAATTTTACCATATAATTCTGACCTGTCCCACAAACTTATTATAAAACATCTAGAATAGTGTAATGTCACGTGAATGCAATCTATTCTTGGGTTTTGATAAATACAATATTTTGAAGTCTTTTCCTTGCTCTTGTTCGTGTTATCTCCTTACAACCTCTTGTATATAGCCAAATATACTTATTATATTTTTATACTTTTTTTGTACATATACTTACACCTTACTTGACACCAGTCCCTTGCTTTTTGCCTTGCTAGTTTTCCTGCTTATTTTGAATGTATTATTACCATTTGTATTTTTGCTCTTTGTTATTGTATTTATTGTGATGTATGAGGTTCTGTGTCCAAATAATTTCCCTTGTGGATCAATAAATTTGTCTAAGTCTAAGTCTACTCAAAAGATATGGCAACAGACATATTTTCTCATCATTCTGAAACTCATGGACAATGTATAACAAATGATAAAGATTTTAAATTATGAGAATGAGCTACTGTAAATATATCGTGGGCAAAGTGACTTATTAAAAGAGTAGTTGTAAAGCTGTAATCTTTGTGTGTCTGTGGATGTTGCAGGATGTGCCTTTCTAACATACTGTGCCAGAGAGTCTGCACTGAAGGCCCAGAGCGCCCTCCATGAACAGAAGACTCTGCCAGGGGTAAGTGCCTCCAATCTGCCCTGTGTGTGTGAGACTACAGCCCCCGGAGCCCCACATCACAGCAGCCTCAGCACATCACATCACCACATCACACCAGAGACTACAAAGCAAACACTCAACCTCTTTAGATTCAGTGAACAGAATGAAGAAAGTAAAAGATTATTATACCTATAAGAAATGTGTCAAGCAATAGAGATCATATGTTATCAACCAAAGTAGTGTTGTCGAGCTGTCATAATACCAAAATGTCAAGTAAAATTTTTGATACCAGATACCAATTTTTATACCATTATAATAATTTATAGATGATGTCATAGTAATTGTAATATAATAACTTTATTTAATGTTACCATGGGGTTTTATACTAGTTTGATAAAGCTCAGAAAACCAAAAATATATATTCAACATTTTTTCAGTATTGATAATTCTAATATGTGTCTTGTTTTGATATTATTTTCAGAGTCAGATAGTATCTGGGTATTGATACTTTTGACAACCATAAAGTAATAGGATAGATAGTAATTTTATGCTATGATTACTAGTAATTCAATGTTTATTACAGTTTTTCTATTACACTCTTCTTTAAATATTTGAATATATACTTTATAAGCTTTTCAAAAAAAATTTCACTGTCTTACTGACTTAAATAGCTTTCAAAAAGATGGTGAAAATAGTGCTGCTGTATTTGAGTCACAAATACATAGTTTTAGTCCCTCCTACCTCTTATCTGAAATAGCCACAAATTGGGACTCAGGGAACAACATGTTATGCTAAAGGATTCCATTAACATCCTTGTTTGGCTAGTGACCAATGGTTGCTAAATTAGGCCTTGGAACGAGAGCGAGTTTCTTAGTGACACTCTCCCCTAATTTCCACTCCCCATTCACACACGCGCACACACTGTTACACACTCGCACCCCCACGCATGAGCAGACATAAAACAGTGCAAGTGGCCTATCTCACCTTGCAGTGTCTTATTACACTAATCACCCCGGCGGAGATATTTGATAAGCGCTCCTTCATAACAGCCTGCGTCGTCCTTCCCCTGTCCTCTCACAATATGGCTGCCACACACTCTAATTGCCTTGAGGAATCACACTTTCATTATCACATATAATCAAACAGTAAGTATAAACAATCATTTTTGCCATGTATATCACCATCTGCTGTTTTGCTTTTAATTCCTTTTCCCTTTTTTCGCTCAGCACTGTTATTGTTTGCCTTTGGCGGTGAGGCAACTTTTTCAATTAAAATAATGGACCTATTTAAATGACACAGGTAAATTGCAGCCAACAGTGGGTGTTTAAGCCCACCCAGGAGGAGACCCTCGGTGTGGGATGAGGCTGAGCTGCTGCTGTCTGTCTGCACTTGAGCGCTGTAGTGGGGATTGGGCTCTCACATCAGGGGAATTATCGAGGTGTGATTGAATTACACCCACGGGCCGCTAAGTAGGAGAAGCGGCTTCTGCAGACCCTCATACCCCCGTCTGTCCTCATACCTCTTACCCCACACTGAGACCCCCCTCTGGGGTCATGGATTTAATCCCAATCTGAGGATATCAATTCAAATCTCTTGGGAGAAGGGGTTGCCAGTGGGGAATACATGAGGAAGATAGAGAGTTGTTTTGTGTGTTGTTAAGTCAAATCCAAGATTGAGGCATTTTTAAGGCTTTTTAAAATGTTCTACTTTGAGATTAAATTATTAGCGTCCAGGCTACACCAGGCCTAAAGCCTAGGATCAGATATTGTCTCATTACAAGAGTGTGTGGAAGATGAATTAATACAATTTTCAATATTTCAAAGTAATTTATTTAATTATTCTAGTCATTTATTTTGATTGATTGACAGATTAAGGTTCTTAGCTAATGAAGGTCAGAGTGGCCGGACAGTGACATGTACAAAGGTATAATAGTGAATAATAGATGACATGGCAGAATATGGCATAACAGTCACAGAGGCCCAGGAGGAATGACCAAGAAAAGTTACATTATTAATGTAAATAAAAGTAGAGAGAGAACATACAGTGATTACCTTCACTACCGCACAAACACTCTTAAGAGGACAAAAGTACATTTCTCTAACACAAAGCTGTGATGTATTTCCACCACCTACATGTTCCTAAATGTTTACTTGCGCAGTTCCAACATTTGATTGCGTTGACGTTCCCAGTGTAGGCAGCTCCATATAGCTCCTCGCCTCTCGTCGTCCTAATAAGTTGTTTGCACTCGACTGCATATCAGCGGTACTTCACTAAGTGTTAGACACACTGGTGCACCGCAGAGAAAATGTCCCTCGGAGACAGGGCTCTCCGGGTCATTACTGCCTCCCACTGCTCCGTAATGAGATGATTGTCATGATGGTCCTGGATAGGTTGTTCCGGGCTCAATGCTGTACCCTGGCAGAGGCACATTCTTGTTTGTCTTGTGTCTCCAAAGAGGTTAATGGCATGTACTGTGGGGTTTGCGTAAACATTTCCCCCTGTAAAGCTCACAGCAAGGGGTCAGCGCTGCAATCTCAGACAGAGCACGGGCTGCATACAGAGGCCTAATAAAGATGTGCTGTCTTCAGTGTGGACGCTGGTGTGTGTGTGAGGATGAGGAGGCTATGGGGGGACAAAGGAGCAGAGGAGCAAAAACAGGGCGAAGTGACACTTCTGGACAAGCCTCATTGTCACTGTCATGGCCTGGTGCTTTGAAATGCTCACTTCTATAATGTTCCTATTTCACTGTGTTTTCTCACCACTGTTTTGGTTGTGTGGATTTTGGGGTCTGCTTTGGACTCGCTTGTGTTTGGCTATTGAGATATTGGAGAAAAAATACCTTACTTATCCAATGGTTTGATAGTGTCATTAAAAGTTACTGTTTATTATTCCCAACAATGCTAATCTGGAGGGGCATGAACACATTTGATCATTTAATGCAAAATGCAAATCATAGCTTGTTTTTAAATTCATGGCAATGTCAACACATGAATAATATGTCAGAGGAGGCAAAATGTATTGTAGAATGAGACTTTCTAAAACATCCCTTGTTGGTTGAATGATAGTGGAATCACAATTCTACAAAACAAAAACAAGTATTTTTTTAAATGTCTCCAGACACCCATTACAAAAAGACAAAATTCAGAGTGTTTCAATGTGTGAAGATTTAAGTCCATACTTTGGTACATTGTCAGAAAATGCCATGACAAGGACACCTAATGTTCGATCCTGATTAATGTTTTTTATTATTTATTTAAATTTTTGACTCACCTCATATTAGATCAAACTCCAGCATTACAAATCTCCAGCCTCACCTTTATAAATTAGCATGTATTTTTCTTAAAAAACAGTATTTCATGCAAGCTATGGATAAAAGTGCAAAAGATGAATTAGAATCTGATGAATGGTAATATTCAGTAGCTTTTCACATTCAGATAATCCTTCTGACTGCACAGGCTGAAAAAGACACTACTGGACAAGCCTCATTGTCACTGTCATGGGCCGATGCTTTGAAATGCTCGCTCGTATAATGCTGCCATTTCACTGTGTTTTCTTCCAGTGTGCTGGCCGTGTTATTGTGCAGCCTGCTTGGGACTTGCTTGTGTGTGACTGTCGGGGCAGCCCAAATGCTAATTTTGTTCCAGTGAGACATCTGGCATTTAAAAAATAGCAACTATTCTTAGGAGGTGCCACGATATTCAAATGTAGTGGCCTAATGAATGAAGGAATCAAAGATAATAGATCTGACTTATTCACTTATGTCAACTATATTATAATGCAGCTTTCAAATGCATATATACATTGTAAAAGGGCCATTAAGCTTGTATAGTTTGACAGATATGACTGTAAAAACCTCCTTCCAAAACAAAGACAAGTTTCATGTTGACATGCTTAAATGTGGTTGTATTATTTCCAAGCAACTACTAGTGCACGGCAAAGCAATTAATTTTTCTATGATTGTTAATGACTTTTTCAAACATCTGAGTTTAGTGGGGCGGTTTTGCCAATATTCTTAGTAAGAATAAGATTTATTTAGCCCTCGTGATAATGCAAAAGTAGGGCAATGCAGCCGGAAGGGGTTACAAATCTATTTAGGCCAGAGCCAAACCTTGACAGATAGGGTTTGTGTGTCAGCAATGGCATTTATCTTAAAACTGAATCAAATCAGAATGCAAAACCACAACATGCTAGGGAAATGAAATGTTTTATTGAAACAAAAATGATAAAGTAGTATATAGCTATAACATTGTCTTCATTGTTTTTACACCCGATTGGACAATTTAAATGATCATATATCACTCAATCTACAGTAACCAACATTTAATTGTTCCATATCGTGACAGACAGTGCATATAGCATTGTAATTGATTGAGATGGATAAATAAATTGTGCATAAGAAGTGTTCAATTGGGGGTAAAATTACAGTCAGGAAATGAGACGATTCATTATAAACACAAACGCTTGCCTAAACATTCCCACATATATTTTCCGTTTCAAAAATTCCCACTGCTCCCCCCGCCTTACCCCCCCATACCTCCCCCTCCACCTCACCTTGCTGGGATGCAAGTATTTACATGTTGGCACGACGCCACACACTATAGGCCCAGCAGCGAGACCACGAGCAGGGACCGGTATTTATATGTGTGTGTTCTCTCAGCAGGGGGGCACCATCTTAAATCAGCTCCAGATTGACTATGAATTTTCACTGCACCATCAGTCACTTCATTGGCTTATTTACTAAATCTTGTACTGTGTGTAAAGCGTTAAGGGTGTCACAGGGGAAAGCGGCGCTGTCTGTTGTGGCTGGGGCGGGCACTGTTTACATGCTTTGATTAATTGCATGTAAAGAGCATAATGAGCGCTGGATGTCCTATGCATCAGATCCCGCTGCTACACATTGTACTGTAGATGTAATCAGAGGAACGGAGCATTCTTGCCCTTGCTTGTTGAATCTGTTGTCTGTACATGCACATTGGATTAGAGCAATGAACTCATGTATTTCAATATTTTTGTATTTTAAG